TGAATTGAATTCTATCGATCAGGCACTTCAAAAGCAAGCGGATTTATGGAGTCAAGATGTTTTTCGTAGAATAATTGTGATTTTAAACTAAGAACAAGTCAATTTTTTTAAATATATTTTTCACCTTGAATCAACTTAATCCATAGAAGTAATTAACTCAATAAGTTAGAAAATCCATAGAAGTAATTAACTCAATAAATTAGAAAAATTAACTTGTTCTCAACCAGTAACTTGCAGGAGTGAGTTGATAATTGAAAAAAGGTTAAAAAGGATGGTAAGAGTTATATCTTCTCTTACAGTAAAATAGAAATACATTTCCAAAAATAAGGTAAAATTTCAATAAAGAGGGCATATATCACCCAACATTTACTGCAAAAAGATTATAAAAAATTCATAAATTGAATAAAAAAAGCAGTTAAGTAACTATTATTTTTCAGTTTCTGTTGTAATAAAATAGCTGATATTATTTTGACAATAATAAAAATATAACAAATTAAATATGATACTAAGAGAATGACCACGATTCGCAACCAAACAAAACATGGGCTTCTTCATTGTTGTCAGTTGAGCCCCCATGAAATCTACATTTTGGCTCCTTCGAAGTTTCCACAGACAATGAGGATTAAGTCTGTGAACTGTATGCATACCCGTGTTATCAAGTTTGTCAGTTTATCTTTGAGCAACACGGCACCTTTCCTGCCATCCAAAAAAAAAACCACTTATTTTTTTAAAAACATTTAAGTTTCTCAAAAATCGAGCATAAACAACTTATTTCAATCAAAAAGACAAGTAGGTGACTTATAAAAATCTGTCAAAATTGCCTTTTTGTGATCAGATGAGCCCCATGAAATGTATATTTGGATTCTTCAAAGTGACGACAATGAGGATTAAGTCTCTGAACTGTATGGATACCCTTGTTATCAAGTTTGTCACTTTATCTTTGAGCAACACGGTACCTTTCCTGCCATCCAATTTTTTTTTTAATTTTTAAGTTTCTCAAAAAACCAGAATAAACAACTTATTTCAATCAATTTTATTTACAAATCAAAGATTACCATTCTTAACAATATTTTTTGGTTGCTTTCACGTATAATTAACGTGAAAATCGGGATGTAAAAGATGTTTGTTCAAGTGAAATAATAGAAACTATAATAATTCTATAGATTGTTCGTCCAAACGATATTTGGCGGTAACCGATAACTTGACCTCTAAGAAATTGTTTGGAGAGAATAAATGGTCTTTATTATAGGAAAAATTAGAATAGAGGACCTAAAGGAAATAATATTTACCGTGAAGGATCTTAAAAATCCTAATTACTTAGAAAGACCAGAAACTAAAATATAAATATACCAATGCTAAACTATACCCCTAATAAACTTTCTTATACTCACTCTAACCACATCTCAATTACTTGATAATAGGAGAGAAAACATTAAGATAAGGAAGGAAAGAAAATTATGGAGGAAAATGAGAGAGAAAGTGAATTTTTACTTATTTGAATGTAGAGTGGAAAAGTGAGAAGAAAAGGTTGAGGAGAAAATAAGGGGTAAGCCCAGCCACAATTTCTTTTTAACTTTTGTTCTTTATATAAAATGAGAAAATGAGACGAAAACTCTTTTTCTATTTCACCTTTGTCTTTCATTTTTATATTGTATTTTAAGCATTTATTGACAATGTTGGATGATGTATAATTTATTTATTTCTTTAATTATATATGATTTCAAAAAATTATCCACTTTTTATTTCTTTATATTTTTACATAAAAGGATATTTTGGTTATTTATATTTTTTTTCCTATCTCCTCTCATTCATTTAAACGGGAAGGGTGTTTCAATTTTTTTCTAATTTTTTCTCCTTCCATTTTTTTTTCTTAACTAACTTTTCTTCCTTCTTCCAAATGAAGAATAAAGACTTATTGGCAAGAGGCATGGATCTTTAAAGGTGATGTTCGTCGAGTGGTGATAGGACACTCTGAGAAAAAAGAAGTTTGGTTAAGCAAAACTCTTGAGCTCGGCTTTGCAAGACCTGAACCCTAGCAATGGCGATGAAGATGTGGATGGTGAGGTGAATAAAAATGAGGACGAAGCTTAAGAACTTTTCTGGGGATTTAAATATAGTGAGATATCATTGCATCTTCAATTGTAAGCATATATTATTCTAGACGTATGTTAATTTATTTTGTGTGTGTATTATAATCATTGAAAAATATACAATGGTCATATGTCAAGTGTTTTTTTGGGGCGCTATGATGAGTAAATAATAACACTTCTCCGGTCTTTACTATAGAATTTAACTGTTGAATTAATTTTGATTATAAATATAAGACTTATTTTTTATGTTTAGCAATTTTTTTCTAAATTATCTGATACTCAATTAACCATAATCAAGTAGGAGAAGGAAACAATATCAAGGAATGTGGTTATGATGTTTTAGGAAAAAACATATAATATTTTTTATAATTAACTAACTTACCTAATTTTTTTAATTTAGTTAAATTATTTAAATAAATTTTATATTAATGATCACACGATTAAATTTAAGATATACACACCGCGCAAATATGCACTGGGATCGTGGCAGCAGATAAACGTATTTCTGGTTTGCTTTTGTCTCGTTCTGGGATTTTTGGGGCCGGGTTGGACCAATCTTGACATAAACAGCCTTGCCTCTGACAACACATAGCTTTTTCTTTTTTTTGGGGATAAAACTACAAACGGCATATTCATTTTTAGAGAACATTTTTAAAAAAAAATACCTTGGCCAATTAGTAAGGAGTTGGTCTAGTCCAATTGATAAGGAATCAGTTCATAACCCACAATGTCAATTGTGTGTTTAAATTTCAGTACTGATGTGAGGACTTTATTAGTAATAATCTGTAAGTATCTCTGTAAGCATTGTCTGAGTTTGGAGGTATATTCTGACCGTGGTGAGTCCCTGGTACGCAACTCACTTAAATTTTTTTGTTGGAAAAAAGAAAGGGAAAGTAGCTCAATGCGGAACACGTGATGGAAGACAACAAATCATGATTATCTATCAGTGATGACTGATGATCCAAAAGCTCTACTCTCATTGGTTCCTTAATTTCATTTATTTATTTTGTTAATACGAGCCCAATTCTAGTGCCCCTGCGAAAATGGCAATTTACATCATCCTTGCTAGGTTGATTATAAAACATGATGTTTAGAAGGTATCACCGCTGACATAGACCAGCTCCTTATATGTAAGGTTCAAAAGATATTTTTTTAATACCGCTGTCTACATACCAAGTCTAAAGTATTATACGAAATGAAACTTGATTAGAAGAGTATTTTAGAGAAGATAAAATAAGATAGTATAAAGTTCGTTAATTTTTTTTAATTTACTTAAATTAATCAATTAATTCTTACATTAAAAACCGGATATAGCATAAGGTTAAGCCGACCAGCTGCCCACTCGCATTCACATTGGATTCCCGAGGAACCCAAATCTGAACACACCGTTGTTGCTGTCAACAAAGAATAAAGAGTGAAACGTACAGAGGTGATACTCTGTTACATATAAATAAAATCTTATGTCGTGTTTAACTCCCTTGGTCCAGTCTCTCCTCCTGACCAAGACATTTAATTTCTTTACGCTCGCATGTGAGGGCGTGACGACGACAATATTATAAAGGTTTTCCGAGTTCAGGGCACGTTTAATTGGCGGCTATATGGCTTTTTAGAGGTACCGTATGTTTGGCCATCTCAAGAGGGCTTAGCGGCATACAGAGTGAAGTGGGAACCAGGCTTGGTACTGATTGATGTGAAATGGGAAGGGACGGAAGAGAAGGAGGGATGCAGGGGTTCTTTATTCAATCAAATCACATGCTAAATGCTATTAAAAACGCTAGCTTTATTTATAGATATTAGGAAATAATGAATGATAATTTTCAAATTCAAATCTAAATCAAATATTAAGTGAGTCCTATAGATAAAAAGAATAAAGATACTTCTAAGATATCCTATTTTATTGAGATAATGCAAATATTAAAAAGTGAATAATTAAATAAATCCATATTCTGATAAATGAATATATATATATATATTCACATCCCTAATGTATAATCCTAGATATTTCATTAAACCTAATTGTTCTTTAAAGGTGTGTTTGGATGAAACCAAACCATGGTTTGGAGAATAGCTTTTGGAGAATAGATTATGGGAGAATAGATTCTGTAAAAAAATAATTCTGAGAAGTGAGAGTATTTGGATAGTTGTTATCAGAAACACTTTTTATATATACAAATTACTAAAAAAAGACATAAGTTAATATGATAATTACAGAAAAAATAGATTTTATGATATATTTTAATTTGAAGGAATAAAATTGTTAATAATATATTTTTTACCAACATAATTAATAATACATAAGATAATATAATTAATAAATAATTAATATGTATATATATTTATAAAATATAAGATTAAATATGTTTATAAAAAAATATGTTTATAAAAAAAATAACAAGATACATATCCTATAGACTCTCACACTCTCTCTTTTTTCTCCAAAAGCAAAAAATTTTTGCTTTTTCCAAAACCATGATTTTAGTTTTTGGGTGGGTGTTTGGGTGATTTATTCCCCAAACCATGCCTAAGTCATATCCCATCATCTATCCGCATATAATGACAAAATGATTACATAGAACACGGTCCACTTGCGTAGGTATGATTGTCACTAATGCGTTTTTGCGTAGGTATACATAAAAACTTGATGCTGATTTGATTTGCTCGGTGCTTATGACATTATATGGTAGCGTTTTCCTCCTATTCGCACACCTTGCACGCTTCTTCCCTCACCCTCGGGCTCCTCCTTGCTTCGCCAGACGCGTGTACTTGACATGGGCCCTCACCTAGAGATCTCCATTTGGGCCCAGTTCCTGTGCGATCATCTATGCGGCCCTATATAAAGGCATGCCTGTAGGTTGTTTCAGCATCATCGATCAGTAGAATAACTGGCGCCACGCGAAACTAATTAAACAAATGGCTCTCAGAGTTATTGCACTGTCTTGCGTTGTATTTCTAGTCTCACTCATAGGCTTCGCTGCTGCAATGGCCACAACTGTAAGTAATCGCTCTCTTTCTCTTATGTAGATCCATTACTATTATTGTAAGCTTTTCCTTCTACTTAGTTTTTTGTGTGCTTTTGTTCATGTGCATGCAAGCAGGAGGCGCCGTGCCAGTACTCTGTGAGCGTTCAGACAGGAGACTACGCTGGTGCAGGAACGGACTCCACCATTAGCCTCCAGTTAAAGTCCCAATCCGGCGCTAGTTTTCCCATCGCCAACCTCGTAGACTGGGGCTTAATGCAACCCGGTCATGTCTACTTCCAGAGGGGCAACCTTGACTTCTTCGGGGGCACGGGCAATTGCCTCCATGTTTGCGCCATGACCGTCACCTCCAGCGGCACAGGGTCCATGCCAAGGTGGTACTTGACTGAGGTCAACGTCACCGTCAGTGGCCCCGTGAAGGTGGACATATCGTTCCCAGTGAAAAGGTGGCTGGCTAAAGACGTACCACCCGGTTCGCTCTCTGCCACCGTCGACTCATGCTACCGCTTCTATCCTTTGAAGCCCGCTCTCTTGTCTGTGTGAGGGAGTAACAGTAACAGATATCTGGCTTTTGCTGGTCTGTTACGTTACGTTGTTGTGTCTTATGTAATGTTTGTTTGTCATATGCGTGTCGTCTCGATATTAATAATTGCTACCTCTCTCTCGGCTTATATGTAATTTATAGATAATAAATAGGCCTTGAGGTCGCAGTATGTATCTGGCTTCTGATGGTAAGCAGTGTCACGTTGTGTGTTGCCTAATAATATTTGTTTACTATAATTTTATACCTTGCCCTGGTGTCTCACATAAACTGTTTCTTTTTCAATTTTCATTATAAATAGTTTGTTTTGTTTAAGGAAACTGAAAAAATTGAATAATTAAAAGGGTAAAAGGACAACTTTTTTTCTTAAAATACAAAGAGTTACTGTATAAATTTGTCTTAAAAGCTTTGACTTAAGAATGCTAAGCAATCTTAAAATTTTTTAGATGCAAATTTATCTAAAAAATTTAAAATTGTAGTGATGTTGCCTCCTACTATTAAGAATACTACTTAATTTTTTTTAACGGTCAATATTAATTTTTTAAATATAATAAATAATATTATTATGATTTTAAATTTTTAGCTAATTTGAACCCAATAAAATTTTCAAGTAACTAATGTTTCTGAACAAAATCTTTCGAAAGTTCAAAACAAATTATACCTTAACTTTTTGTATTTTAAACGGCGGCCCAAGCAGGTCACCTTTGAGCTTGTAGGGGCAAGGTGGGACGAGCTTGTAGGGCGAGGTGGGGCAGGGCTGATCAATTATCTCCAATGAATTCAAGAGAGAATTATAAGAAAGTTCAAAAAAGTTATTAAAATTTTTTAATAATAACTTAACAATAAATTTAGAAATAAAAAATAATAACTTTTAAAATTTATTTTATAATTATTTTTTAAAAATTTTATTACAATTTTTTTTTCTAAATTTAATGAGACTGGACTGTTGGGTTCTTTGAATTGGCCCAAATATTTTACATTGGCCGCGTCCAATTACTTCGCTCCAAATATAATTTAGTACTTATTGCAAGACATTTGCTAGAAAAAACAATTTAATCCTTTTTATAAGACTCTACGACAATTTTAATCAGCATTAAATATTTTTTATATATATTCACAATTAATAGGGGTAGTAAGAGAATAAAAATTAATATGATGTTAAATTTTAGCGTAATTAATAAGAATAATATTAAAAATTACTTGAATTTTATGACAAATTTAATATATTTAACTATTTTAATCGATACATATTAATTAGTTAGCAGTCTCTTATAATAATATAATAGGATCAAAGGGAGTGTATTGGTTAGATAAATGGCGTTAAAAAAGACTTTTTTTTTTAAATATTGGCGTTAAAAGTTCATTTATGCACTAGTGTGCTTAAATAATGTTATCAAATCCATTGTCCAATCAAATTTATTTTCATATATAATTTTTATTATTAATGATGCTTTGTTATTGTGAAAATTTACCCACACAAATTTTTATTATTAAAAATTTATGTACTTTTGATTATAGGATTTGACATGATATGGATATAACGAAATATTGGTCAAGATTTATAAATGTGTGTGTATATATGTGTAAACATTTTGTGTTTTTGATTTTATGTCTTGAGATATTATAATTGTGTTTGAATAAAACAATTTCCAATACTCCATTTTTGCTTTTTTACATAACTGTCTGATATTTAATGAAAAAGAAAATGAAAGTTATCGTGGTAAATATTTTTAGAATAAATACTGCCAACAATCCAATCTTATTTCTGAGGTGTACTCATCACCTTCATCTTTTTAGTGATACGATGTTACCTATGATATGATCTTCTAAATTTGTTGCAATCTCATCCTTATTTTATTTATTTAAAATCACTTTTTTTCCTTTTACTCGTATTAAGAGTTAAAATTAATAATTTTGGTTGCATTTATCAAATCATTAACAATTTTCACACAGAGTAATCAAATTATAGTCACATCAAAAAAACTGAAAATGGGTGAGATTGCATCAAATTTAATAAATTATGGGTAAAATTATATTACTAAAAAAAGCTTAGGGTGTTTAGTGCACCTTTATGCATATTTTTAGGTTTAATAAATAAATAAATCGTTGAAATTTATTAATTAACTACAAAAGTTTGTCCAACATAAGTTATTTTCAAAAAAAGAATGCGGGAACTCATTGAACAATTACATATGTGATGGAAATAACTGACTGGAAAGGATCATAATTTCTGCTGAAACAAACAAGATAATGAAACTAAAGAGACATCATTACTGAAATGAAGAGATCATACTCATATTATTAAGATCTTTCTTATGATTAAGCATGAAGCTCAAAATTATGCAAACGGCAGCCATGAGCTCGCTCTGGCCGGAAACCCAAAACCTAGCCTGTTATTGTTCACTAGGAAGCCTTCTCTAGTACCCCTATTGTCTTTAATATAAGACCTAATTGTTAAGTTAATCTTAGTATTAAATATAAGACCTATTTATGAAATTTATTAATTCTTTCTAAATTACCCCTACTGATACTTGCTCAATCATAATCAAGTAGAACATGGAGAAAGGATATTAAGAAAGATGATTATGGTATTTTAGAAAAAACATGTTATATTTTTTATAATTAACTAACTTTCATAACTTTCTTAATCTAATCAAATTAACTAAATAGATCTTTTATTAAGAACCGGAAGAGTATTTATTTCAGGCCCACTAACGGTGATTTCCACGAATTCCAAATGCCACTCTAGCCTGCTCCCTCGCCCGTCAATGGAAATGAAGATGGAGCAACGGTTGAGACAGATGTTCCCGCTGCTGAAGAAGTTGAGATTGTTCCACTTGAAGTAGTTGCAGTCGGGTTCTATGGTGTAGCACCTAATTTGAGAGTTAATGCTGGTTTTATATGGAAGACTTATTTCATATTTTATGAATTTTTTCTCAAATTAATTCTATTGGTATTCCCTCAACAATAATTTAGTAGAAGATAGGGGAAATTAAGAAAGACGCATAGGGTATTTTAAAATATATATATCATATTAATTAATTTAATTAACATCCTCAGTCTATTCAAATTAGCTAATTAGATTAGTACTATATGCTTGCAAATATTGCAGTCCAATGTGGAAATGGGCAGCGCGGTCCGCATGATTAGAACATAACTAAACGAGGGAAGAGATGTGACACCCTCACAATAGACCCGAGGATTAAGAGAGATAATTAATAAGAGATCAAAGAAAATTATGAAAAGGAATAAACAGTAGGGTGAATTTCACGGACATTTATCATCAAACCATCATAACAAAGCCTAAAAACTAAATGAGATGCAAAATGTCATTTTTTTAGTCTTACGTACTACTACCTCCGGTCCTAATTATAAGACCCCATTGACTTATTTGAGGAGATTAAGAAAGTAAGTTAAGTTAGTTATTTGTAATAAATAAGTGTTATCATTCCTAAAATATCCTTACTAATTAAGTGTATTGGCTAGAACTATCATTATTAGAAGGACTATCTTGGAAAAAAAATGCATAAATATGATAGATAAAATGGATTGGGGTCTTATAATTAGGACCAAACAAAAAATCAAACGGGGTCTTATATTAAGGACCGGAGGTAGTATAAGGTATCAATATCCTTTTCTTTTTTATATTTATTATTTTTAGTCAAACTATCATTATTCCTGTATCATGTATCAATTATGTTGATAATATTCAGAAAGGTCATAAAATGATAATTATTTTAAAGGACTAGAACAAAATTAACTAGGTCGTGAGCTTGCATTTTGCATGAAAACTAACATTATAAGCCTCCTTTTTCATATTTTATTATTAGTGTGGTACTGCAGCTGCTTATAAATTTTATATTATAGATGCATTAAATAATTATTTTTCGTTGATTTTCGTTTTTGGATGTGAATCCCATTATTATTATTATTTTCAAATGAATGGAAGTATACATTTGGGTAGTTTTAACGTCTTAGTAGAGGCCAACATATAAGAGGTTGTGGGTAAAAGGAATTTTGGGTTCATTACCAATATTATTTAGTTTTGTTGAAATTTCACAGACCCTTCATTTATTTTTGGAACCTACACTTTAATCTAATATTATAAAATATTCTTAAAATATATTATAATGATATTTTTTTGCTAAATGTGCAGTCATAATTAATTATTGACGAGTTAACTCTATAAAAAATTAATAGATATTTAATTTATTTTAACTATTTTTTATTTAACTTTAATTACAAGATAATAAGTAGTCTTTTTGCAAAGGGAGAATCCCAATTAAATCCAGCCAAAATACTAAATCTAGATTTAGGACTACACTTTTAACAAATACCTAATTAGGCCATGAGACCTAATTAGAAATTTCTGAACATTGTTAAATAACCAAAATACATTTCTTTAATTTAAAAAAATTGATTATTTTACCTCTCCCAAGTGATCCTTCATCTCTTATGATTTTTTTTTCAGACCAAAAAATATATAAGTAAATTTACAATGTTTGAAATTTGTATATGTAACTTACAATCAACATAAGTAAATTTTAAATAAATATTTTTTATTTTTTAATTTAAGAAATGCTGGATCCAACCGAAAATGTAAATTATTACAATTTAATATTAAATATTTATTATAATTAAAATATTTTAAAATCTTAAAATAAATATTTACTACTGAAAAAGGAAAAAAATGTTTATTTAAAGGTTACTTATATTATAATCTGAAATTTTTTATGAAAAAATTTGGAATTTTTTTTTTTGAGTAAGGAAGGTTTTAGTTATATATACAAAATTTCAAATACTGCAAAATTATTTATGTTTTTTGTCTAAATATTGATAATAAGAAATGATGAACCACTTTAGATGGATAAAATAATTAATTTTATTTTTAATTAAAGAGGGACATTATGATCATTTAATAACATTTGGCAATACCTAATTTGGTCTTATGCCCTAATTAAGAATTTGTTAAAAGTGTAGTTCTCAATTTTAATTTAAGTAT